GACCTGGCATGAGGGTATGAAAACCCTAACCAGAAGACTAGGTCACATAGGCCCCGTTAGGCTCCCTGGCTTGGGACCTCGGGATGATGTTCACTGATGGTTAGCTGCACTGAGTGATATAGCTGGGCTTCGCAAACAGTGGCGGTCGTGCATCCCCTGGTTATTTTCCTAACACCACTCGATTTGTATTCTCCATCTTGTGCTTGTATTTGCTTCGACATTCCAATCTTCATGTCGCTCTTTTTTCCATATGCGCAACCAATGCTATGCTTCTGGTTTTCGCCTTAAAAATACTAACATTTATGGTAAAATCTTCCAACGTTCTTACTGCTGCTGAGCAATTAAGGTACAGAATTCCAGATGAGGCTGTCAGTTGGCGGATATTCATACAGACATGGGTTTTGTTAAATAATGAGGAGTACAAGTATTTGGTTGAAGATTCAATGTATTTTTTTTTCAGACGAGAGCGAGAGATCGGAATTGTTGATGAACGTCTTGATGTTCCAGTTTTGGCTGTCTTCTGATCACGCTGCTGGTCAAACGGTGATCAAAACGATAAACTAACTCACCTCGTAGTCACCAAGTGCTACTGTTCAACCAGAGCCCCTGACATTTGAGGCGAATCACATGGCTCCATGCGGAAGCCATGCTAATATGTCTCATTATATGCTGTTCGGTTTCAGTTTTTCCAGCCCTTAACCATGCACTTTCGTCCGTTGGTTTTGGCTGTCAGGAATCATTAGCAAAGGTTATATTGTTTAAAGTTATCACGTCATCGTTGTGATTATTTCCGCGATGAAATTCCAAGGTTCATTTCATCAATTATTTAGTGGTGCGCAACTTTTGACTCAATATAACATCTACCGCATGGGCCTCACAAGGGGTCCATCGCGGAGAATATGCTTCAGTTTGTTTCCTTAACTTTGGACGTCCACTCGATCTGGTTCCTTCTGTAGTCGCCGCGTACTTCCAGGGAGTGAAACATAAACAGTTTCCATTGTCTTATATATTATCACGTTATTTATTGAATCCTGTGAACAATCCATTGGGTTTTTATATCGTGTGTGATACAAGGTATTTAAGTCAAATTACCTTAAATTGTTTTCTTTATGGCAATTCCACAGGTGTTTGTTGGTCGATGTATAATCTTCATCGTGTAGCTCCCACACTACTGTGCTCAATACGATGTTTGAGCAGCAATCCTGCTCGTTACGTACTCTCTGAGCGTGTGGATTCCTGCATACAAATATTGACGCTAAACGACGAGAAGCGAGCAAACTGTTTATCGTTCACTCTGATTGGGGAATTGCACAATGCATTGTTGGATGTTCAACGGGATCAGGACGTACGCGCATTAATAATTCGTGGTGCTGGACGCTTCTTCTCTGCTGGTCACGATTTGAATGAGATGGGCGAAGGTTCGACCGCTGAGTCGCGTTCTAAACTGTTCCAGACATGTACAGAGGTAATGAGACGTTGTGTGCAACATCGAAATACACCACCATTCACTATCGATTCTTGTGCTTTCCCTATTCAAAAAATTCTACAACGCAAATAGTTTCCAGATATTGTGACTATATAGAATACTCACCCCGGGTGAATCCCACGGAAATATTTATTCCGGATACTATCTATAGAGACCTAGGTCGCCTTTGTATCAGCCCACACATAGGTCGTCTTCGATTCCCTCTACCGTGTCTCCTTTTTCCCGTTTCTCCCGAAATCCAATGGG